GCTTTTCTTATATAGACTTTTTCATATATATATATATATATAAGCTTCATCTGTATATAAACACATGTAAATTTTACTTTAGCATTTGGAAATTTTACTTTTTTCAAAAAGACATGTCTTTTATAAAGGATATAAGGAAAATTTACTTGTGAAACATACAAATTGGAAAAGAATCATCCTAATTATAGTATCAAGTATGTTAAAAGATGTCATAGGAAGAAGTAGCTCCTGTAGCACCATTTGGGTATGAAATGTGAAGTGGGAGAAGCAAGAGGTTAATTTTGTCAAGTGGTCCCACACACATGTAGCCAGGAACTTCATAACTCCCACCATGGATAATTCTTTTACCTCTAGGGAGGAAAGAGCTCCCCTCTTCCACCATAAGGAGAGCGTACTAATTCCCAGAGAGAATGGGACTCAAAGCTATGCACACTGCTGCATGTGCAGCCAGGGCTGGGCTGGGCAATTACCACAGCTTTAATCCACATTCACACACCTAGACCCAGCCACCTCCAAAAAGCCCCACCTATGAGTGCTTGAGACTTTGGAGGGACATCTACATACAAGCCATAACACCCAGTGATTCCCTTTCTTCCTAGGCTCTGATCTTGTTTTCCCTAATCACACAAGCCAAAGTCCATCCATCCCTCACTGCTGTATCCACTTGTTAAATATCACTGATATCATTTATCCTGCATGTCCCCATTTTTAGTCTCATTTATGTTGTTGAACATTTTCTTACAACTCTTGGATAAGGGTTAAGATGGGAGTCTGATTTATACTAGTATCTTGCTTATTAGATCCATAATGACAAGGATAAGTTCAGTGTAACAACCAGGTGATCTTATTCTAACTGCATTTCTTCTGAGTCATTCTCTAAAATATTTATTGAGCAGTGGGGCTATGGAAAAGCTGTGTCCATTTTAGTTTATTTTGCATGACTTAACATTAACTTTTCTACATATTAATAATTTGTCTAATTTCTCAGTCTTTATAACTGGGTTCATTAGCAAAACCTTGTGCATTTTGGGTGGAAACCAATAAGAGGAGTTTTGGGGCCTGAAGATTTCCTGACGGATAATCTGCTAGGAAGGCTTTTGGCTGTGAGTACTGAAAGTCTAACTGGTGATAGATTGGTCTCACATAATGAGAAGTCTGGAGGAGGCAGCATAGAGCCAGTGATGCCATCAGCAGTGCTAGCTTTCTGCTGTCCCCTTCTTCGGATATTACTTTTATCCTAGTGGGTTACCTGATTATTCACATTTGGATTTTAATGTACTTAAAACTGTGCCTCTGTGTTATATATAATTTTTCTCCTTTTTTTCCAGCCTTTTTCTCATTGTTCTCATCATATCAGACATCATGGCCTTGGTAAGGTATTATTGAATATTTAGTATAAATAAGATCAAGAAACTAAGAGCTGAGTTGATTTATGTTGTTGAACATTATCAAGAAAAATATGAATTTATTTCTGTACATGAAATCTTTAGATATTGAGTCCTAAATGCTGGCCTAAAAAACAAGCCACTTAACTTTATAAAGAGAATTCCTCATAAAGGGTCAAAAGTCTCATTATTTGATTTATTCAGTTCTGTCTTTTTACACCTAGTTTTCCATGTAGCTTTGTATCTGAAATGAATTTTCCATAGGAAATTAACAGAAGAAGCTGGAAGGATTCACAGAATTTGCTGGATTCTGGTATATTCACAGTTACACTTTATGACAGTGAAATGATACAGATTGAAATCACCTAAAGGGCGAGATGTATAGAACAGGGTCTGAGAAGACATCAAATGCAGAGCTTCTCTTGTTTTCCTCCTGTAGCTGTCAGGACAGTGTTACTGTCTTCACCCTCAGGTGTAACAGGACACCTAAAGTATTGCCATCCAGGCTTACCTTAGCTTTGATGTCCAGACTTTTTATTGAGGCATGATCATATATTGTCCATATGCTAATTGGTAATGTTCAGTGTTTCCAAGTGTAGAACTGATTATGTGGCTCAAAGCCCTCATTATAAATCATATTATTAGACTGTCTAGTGATCAGTGCTCCAGGTCAAACACTTCTATAAGGCATGACATTCCAAAGGCCTAAAAATAACATTGCAGTAATTGAGGACAAAGACCACACCTTTTTGAGGGGTTAAAGATTAATGCTTTATTGTGCAATACCCCATGATAGAAGTGATTAGAAACACAGGTTAGGGTAACTTTCTAAATCAGATTCCTAGATACTTGATTTAAATGAGGACATATTTGTGTTATGTTGAACTATGTATCTAATCTATTTCTGAAGTGGACCACACATAAGATTTAGAACAAAATCACCTTTAATTTTTTATTACAAAGTGACAAGTAGGTAAGGCATATTAGTAGATAAGAATTGAAATTCTCTGATTAATTTTATCTGAAGAGTCAGGTTGCTCAATTTAACTTGCAGAGGCACTTGTGATCTAGCTTCTGCTTATTTGACTGATGTCACCCCTCACTTCTTTCATCCCTGTTATCTCTACCAGCCTCACTTTGAACCACACTCCATCCAGACGTGGTGTTTATATAGGCTATTCTCTCTGTCAGAAACATGCTTCCACGTCTGTCTCCCAAACCTCCTTTCACTTCATTTCTACTTTTCACTTAGATTTCATCTTGCAACAAGAAACTTTCAGTGCTGCCATAATTGCCTGTATTTTCCAAGGATATTGCCTCTGTCTTTCTCTTTGTCTCTATCTGTCTGTCTCTCTCTCTCTCACACACACACACACACACACACACACACATATATGTAAGTGCTCACGTGCCTGATAATTTGAATCATTCACTAGATTATATGCTTTGTGAGAGGCAACTTTATCTCTAGCATCTACCTTAGTGATTATTAGTCTATAATAGGTGGTATCAGTAAATAAATGGATGATATGGCTTCTCTTCACATATGTATGGTATCTTTTAGTATCTTTTATTAACGTTGGCTTGTTATTTCTAGTTATTCACAAAAGTATTGTATTCATTTCATTGAATGGTAATCATAATTTGGGCATTTAGACTATTGCTCATTTTAATTCAAGCAAAAGTTTTAATGAAAGGCATATTCTTGTTGATCTTAAGTAGATAGTTATTGTGAAGGGTCAGAAATATGAAACATACAATCTTAAACCAAGTTGGTTTTTTAGATTGAATTTAAATAGGCTTTTTAAGTTAGAACCATGTTTTATTATATTTACAGCAATTTTTCTTCTTGATCAAGGATTATGGCAGTTGGCTTGATATTGGAACAAGGTATAGTATATATCTACGTAGAAGTTACTAACATTGCAGTGAAAAAAGAAAATTTGGTATGTTCATATACAAGGTATCGGTATGATTTTGAAGTAAGTGTAGCAAATGACAACTGTTTTAAGCTTCTGGAACCAAGACATCTCTGCAGTTCTTGGAACTACACATTGGTATTTTCTTGAGATGTTGTGGAAGGAAGATGGATGTTATGTCTGGAAACAATTAAAAGGCAATAAGAGGATAAAAAAACCTGAATCTGAGGGTTCAAGTAGCTTGCTCCAGTACCCTTGTGTGTTCTCTTAAATTCACAATGTCTCTAGAAAATAAGACTGTTTGGGTTGCACTATAAATTTTATGTGGTAGTTAAATTTCATGCAGTCAGCGAGGCATGGTGGCACACGCCTATCGTCCTAGCACTTGGGAGGCTGAGGCAGAAGGAGTTCTATGGATTTGAGGCCAACCTGGGCTACATAATGAGTTCAAGGCCAGCCTGAACTATATAGCAAGACCCTGTATAATAAATAAATAAATAAATAAATAAATAAATAAATAAAATAAATTTTATGTAATCATTACTTACCTTTTAGAATCTTTAATACAGAAATATTTTTAACATATGATCCTATAACATTGTTATTTAAAATGTAGTCTGAATAAAAAGCCAGTTTCTTCTTTATCATGATGTAATGTCAGAATCTGTTAAATTTCTTTTCTTTGAGAAGAAAGCAAAGTTGATCTCTTCGCCTTTTTTCCCAAATGTATTCTGAAGTGGAGTACTTTTTATAGACTGATTTTATTTCATTTAGTCGGTATTTGTTCTCACTTTCTGTTGCCAGAAATTGTGTATTTTCATGAGATTATGACATTCTCTCTCTTAGGTAGCTCACAGCTTATACTGCCTTCTTCATGTCTTCTTTGTATCTTTATATCTTATATCTGCCTCTCCTGATAATGGTTTCCTCAGGTCTGGGCTCTGATTAGAATCTCATACACGCCATATGTGCTTGACATGTCAAAGGTACTTAACAAATCGCTGATTTTATTTTCCTTTGTCTGTTAAATGTATTGACACCTTCTCCCCAGTCCCTCATGCCAACATGTTCAGACAGACAGTATGCCAGAGCATAGGCTTAGACAGGGTGCTTGGGTTTGAATCCTGGTTCTCACCTTTAGCTATGAGATCATTTGTAAGTGAATTAAAATCTTGAAACTCTCATTTCTCTCAAAGCCATCTTGAATAAATAATAATCCATGTCAAGTACTTAGCATGGTGCGTAGCATCTAATAAATGCCAGTAAATGTTTTCTATTATTAGTGTTATTACTTGTAGTTCCATTTTTAATCCTTCATAGTGTTTTATGTCTTTGACATATTCTCTCCATAATTTGATTTTCATTTTAGGTATAGGTCAGAAAACTTATTTATTTGAGAAATACTCTGATGAAGCATTTTTGTGTGAAACATTTTAATTGTGGCAAAATGTACATACCCTTTACTATCATAACCATTTTTAATTATCAGCACCATCCATCTGTAGAACTCTTTACATGTTGCAAAACTGAAATTTTGAACCCATTAAACAGTAATTCACCGTTTTCCCTTCCTTATACTCTGGCAATCACCATCCTATGTTCTACTTCTATGAATTTGACTACTCTATGCACCTATATAGATGGAATCATACAGCATTTACATTTTGTTGTTTTGTTTTTTCTTTTTTCTTTTCTTTTTCCATTACTGGGGATTGGAACCAGGACCTTCATACTAGCTATACCCCCAGGCCATTTTTTATTTTGTGTTTTGAGACAGTCTTGCTAAGTCACTAATCTTTATTTGTGATTCTATTTATTTACTGTATTATATTTATTGATTTGCATTTGTTGAACCTAATTGTATCTCTGAAATGATACCTTTAATCAAGATATATGATCTTTTTAATATACTGTTGAATTCAATTTGAAAGTATTTTATTGAGGATTTTTGTATCCATCTTCATCAAAGATATTGGTATCATTTTCTTATTGTTGTGTCCTTGTCTGGCTTTGGTACAGAATGAGTTTAGAAGAGTTCCTTCTCTTTCAATTTTATGAAATAGTGTGAGGAGCATTGGCATTAATTCTAAAGGTCTAGTAAAATTCAGCAGTAAACCCATCTGGTCAGAGGCATTTCTTTGTTGGGAAACTTTTTGTTACCACTTCATTCTGATTGTTTATAATTGGTCTATTTTAAGTTTTTTTTTAATATCCTCTTGGTTCAGTTTGGGTAAATCCCATGTCTTGAAATTTCTTCTGTATATTCCAATTTATTGGCATATAGTATTTCAAAATATTCCTTAATGATACTATGAATTTTAGTGGTATCTTTTGTAATATTTCCTGTATCATCTCTAATTTCATGAGTTTGGCTCTTCTGTTTGTTCTCATTAGTTAACTGAAGGTTTACCAATTTTACCTTTTAAAAGAGCTGTTTATTTCAGTGATTCTTTGTACTTTTTCTCTTGTAACTGATTTTGGCTTACAGACTATTTTGTTGGATATGAATATAGCTACTCTTTCTTTATTTGGGGTACCATTTGCTTGGAGTTTCATTTCTATCTATCTCTGTATATCTCTGCAAATGAAGTGAGTTTCCTTCAGGCAGAGTATTGTTGTTGGTCTTGTTTTTTATCCAGTCAGCCAGTCTGATCTTTTAGACAATTAAGACTGTTCATATTCAGGATTATTATCAAAAGGTATATACTTACTCCTATAAGTTTATTTTTCCACTGGTTGATTTGAATATTGCATGTTCATTTTTTTCTCTCATCTTCATGCTAGAGATTGGATGGTTTACCATATTAATAATGTTTTATCCTTTCCTAATGCTTATTTCCTCATCTACTCTTTTAGTGAGATCTATTCTTTTCCATGCTCCCATGCTTTCTTCCTTTTCTGAATGTATAATTCCCTTAAGTGACTTCTATAATGCTGGCTAAGTGGTCATGAATTCCCTTAGCCTTAGTTTATCCTCATCTTGGAAGGTCTTTATTTCTCCTTCCATTTTGAAAGACAGTTTCTCTACACATAATAATCAAGTTTGGCAGTTGCTATCTTTTTAGAATTGAAATATGTCATTCTGTACCCTTTTGGCCTTTAGAATTTCTGCAGAGAAATTACTATTATTCTGATGACTTTGACTTTAAATGTAACTTGGAATTTTTCTCTTGCACTTTTTAGGATTTTTTCTTTGTTCTGTACTTTTGGCAGTTGTCTTGGTTACTTTTCGCTCATTGCAGAGACAAAATACCCAACCCCAAAAATTAAGGAAGAAAATGTTACTTAGCTTACAATTTGTGGAGATTTCAGTGTATAATCAGCTGGCTCCAAGGCAGGGTGGCACGAAACAGGGGCAACAGTTCAAGTTGGCAGAAGACAGCAAAAGCAGCAAGAGCACAAGAGGAAAGCGGCAAGCCCCTTTTCCCTCCTTATATTGTATATCAGCTATCTGCCCACTCCCACACCATCTCTGTGCCCCCTTCTATAAGCTGAGGATGTTTACAAAGTAAGGACCTTGACCCCCTGCTGAATCACTTTAAAGTTGAACTTTTAAACTTCTCAAGTAGACACAATGAACAACATCCTAGAGCATCAAGGGGATGTCCTTTTCACTCCAGCATGTAAAACTGCTGAGTTACTTAGTTAAGCTTCTAGACTCCTCAAGTTGACACAATATATCAACCATAACAGCAGTATAACTCCAGTGTGCTCTGACAAAATTCTTTACTGTCTTTGGGGCTGTAAATGTCCCCTATACTTGAATATTCGTGTCTTTCCCAAGATTTTGGAAATTTTTCCCAAGAGTTTGGAAGTTTTCTATTATTTAGTGAATAGGTTCAGAGCCTTCAGCCTGTATCTCTTCTCCTTCATCTATTTCAATTATGCATATGTCTGGTCTTTTAATGGTATACCAGAATGCTCATATATTCCAGTCATTCTTTTTATTAATGTCTTAAGGGGATAATTCATGAACTTTGTTTGCAAGTTTTGATATTCTCAGTGCAGAGGCCTTGGGTTTAATCCTCAGTACCACAAAAAAAGAGGGTGAGGGGCTGAGGATGTAACTCAGTGGTAGAAGGCTTGTCTATCAGACACAAGCCATAAGTTTAATCTCCAGAACCAGGATGCTGGATGGACCCAAAATAACAGAAAAGAGAGGTGCAATAATTGTATAGAATGAACTTTAAAAGTTTAATTTTTTAAAAGGAAAAAGATCTTTAAAAAAGATACTAGGAAAAAAGTAAAAAAGGAGAGAAGAAGAAAAATTCAAAAGAAAAGAAAAATGGGGTTCTCAGCACTCAGGAGCTTAGTAGAGAATGGCTGCACTTCCCTTTAGTGGTAGTGAGTACATCCATGTAAACCAATAAAGGTCATTGCATTTAAGTTACTGAGAACACAGGAGCTCAATAGGGAGAGGCTGTGTCGCCTTTAGCGGGGAGAAGGCTACATCCATACTTATTGGCCCAGGAAGTTTGTTCTTGCATGGCAAGTTTCTAGAGAGGACACCTCATAGTCTGCTTGCTACTATTCTAATTTCTCATTGGGCTTCTGGAATTGCCCAAGCCTGGGGCTTTAGCCCTAAATCACACAGAAGGGAAGATACTTTTGAAAAGTTCGAGAGGTGGAGAGAAGAGAGGAAAACACAGGAGAAGGGGAGTCTTAGAGGAACAGGAATATTACCATCTTCATCAGGAATTAATTCTACCATGCCCAGATCAACAATGTCAATGAAAGAGACGCATCAGATGGGGTAAGTGGGTTCAAGGTCTTTGCCTCTACGCTTTGGGAGACTGAAGATGATGAGGAGGAAGTGAGATACCTGAGCAACGCACAGCAAGTGATGAGTACAGACCTCCAAGCAAATTTCCCAGAGCCCTGAGAGGGGTAAAACCAATGTCTGCTTTGCAGAGGAAGGTGAGAAGTGGCCATACTGATGTATGTGGAAATCATAACACAAGCTCCTCTGGC